TTCGCTCTATTCCCGGGTGGCCCATGTCATTGTGAAGACTATGAAGAACAGATTCACGGAGGTCTGCTGGAAGGACCAGTTGATATACATGTTGCTCATTTTCTTGCCGTTTCCTGTAAAGAATGCCATCAATCATCTCCAGTTTTGTAAATTCTCTAAGGAGAAGATGAAGTTCTGGAAGTTCACTCCTGACTGTTGGGGGAATCTTTTCACCTGACTCCAACTGATGGATAATTTCCCTGACAGTAGGATCAGCTCTCTGATAATCTTTTAGGTCAGAATGAGACATTGCAGGAACAACAGGAAGTCCATGTGCCTCTTCAGAGTAATCCACAGGAATTACATCTGCCCTGGCTGAGAGTGATTCAACCAAAAGACTTTCAACTTGGGTCCGAACCAGACGACTTTGGCAGATTGCATCCATCACTTCAGGTGACATCTCATTGTTGCTGTTGTCTAAAAGATGTTGTTGAGCAAACTGAGAGATGAGTTCCTGATCTTTATGTGCAACTTCATCTATGACAGGATCTTCACAGGGGCGACGAGAGAGTGCATCAGCATCCTGGTTGCGTTTCCCTGCTCGATACTGCAACTTAAAGGAGAAAGTAGAAAGTGCAGCCAGCCAACGATGACTGGTAGCATCCAGCTTAGCTGAGGTTAGGATGTAAGTAAGTGGATTATTATCAGTGACAACTGTAAAATCTGCTCCATACAAATAATCTTGAAATTTTTCTGTTACACTCCACTTCAGTGCTAAGAATTCAAGTTTATGAGCTGGATAACGACTTTCGCTGGCTGACAACCCTCGACTAGCATAAGCTATTACCCTGAGCTTCCCCTCATGTTCCTGGTATAGGGCAGCACCCAGTCCAGTGGTGCTGGCATCTGTGTGAAGGATGTAAGGTAGTGCAGGATCAGCAAACCCCAGGACTGGTGCAGTAGTAAGTTTGTCGATCAGGGTATCAAAAGCCAGCTCACACTCAAGAGTCCACCTGGAACCAAAAGGTTGCTTTGGATCAAACTGTGGGCACTTAGAAGATTGTACTCTTGAGGGTTTATTAGTTGGGGGGTACCCACGGGTCAAATTGTTAAGAGGCTTGGCAATAGTGGCGTATCCTTTTATGAAACGTCTATAATAGCCAGTAAATCCCAGAAAAGATCTTAAAGATTTCAAATTAGTAGGAATTGGCCAGGATTTCACTGTGGAAATCTTTTCTGGGTCTGTCTCAACACCCTTTTCTGAAACTATATGACCCAAGTATCTGACAGAGGTTTGGAAAAATTTACATTTTTCCAAAGAAAGTTTTAATCCAAACTCTTTCAGACGATTTAGAACTCTCAGCAGACGGTTTTCATGTTCTTCAAGACTGTTTGAGAATATGATCAAGTCATCCAAAAAAACCAATACCTCTTTCAAATGCAGGTCACCCATACATTTCTCCATCAATCTTTGAAAGGTTGATGGTGCATTTGTAACCCCCTGAGGCATTCGGTTAAACTCCCAAAACCCAAGTGGAGTAACAAAAGCAGTCTTAGCTTTATCAGCTTCATTCATTTCAATCTGATAATAACCAGATTTCAGATCTAGCACTGAAAACCACTTTGATCCTCTGAGAGCTGTAAATGATTCTTCCAGGTTGGGCAAAGCATATGCATCTTTGACAGTTTGTAAATTAAGTTTACGGTAGTGAATGCACAGTCGAATGTCTCCATTTTTTTTCTTAACAACAACAATTGGAGATGAGAAAGGGGATTCAGACTCTCTGATAACACCAGCATCCAGAAGTTCACGTAAGTGTTTGCGAACAGCCTCTATATCTTGTGGGTGAATCGGTCTCGCACGATGTTTGAAAGGAGTATTATCATGAAGATTAATGTGATGTTTCACTTGCTTGGTACATCCAAAATCTAAATCATGATGAGCAAAAACTTCAGGTACAGCATTTAACTTTGTTATGATTCTTTCCTTCCATTCTGATGGTATTGGAGACTCACCAAAATTGATTTTCAAAGATGCTGTTGATGTTTTCTCAGCCATGTGGTTGGTTACATGGTGCTCTGAGATGATACCTGCATAGGCTTCCAGTTCAGCAATGATACTTAAAGCTGGTATGGAAATGACTTGCTTTGTTTCATTGGAAACAGCAACTGGAACCTTATTGAGTGAGTCAGCTTGAAGTGCAACCAGACAGCTACTGACAACCAGGCCACCCGGCAGGCCTGAAACCGGGTGCCGAACAACAGCACACTGACTGGCTGTAGAAGAAAGCTTGGCACGACCCTCGACCACCATTGTGCAACCAGCTGGAATAAGTACAGGAGTTTTACTATGGAGAGTCACAACACCCAAATGATTGCCACAGTTCTGCTGATGCATTAACTGATGCAGAACTGTTTTAAACCCGTATGAGGTAGGTTGGAATGTGGGACAATCACTGGAACAAAACTTTTCATAGAGAATTTCAAGTGTATTCATGCCAATTAGTACTGAAGCTGGAAATCCAGGTCTCACATCAGGAACAACCAAAGCAAGGGTTTCAACTGTTAGTTCACTCCCAATAAAGCCTTTTGGAAAAGTTATTGGTATTTCAACATAACCCAAATAGGGAACTTGTTGACCTGCAGCCCCTTCAACATGAAGTAGGTCATTTAATGAATGCACTGGATGATCTGAGAGATGCTCATTGAAGAAAGAAACTGGAATTGTAGTGACTTGTGAGCCGGTATCTAGAAGACATTGAGAGCTGTGGCCAGCAATATTGACTTCTGCTGTACATCTGGATCCGACTAATCCTTTTGGTAAGTTAATTTTGGTTTTTGTCTGCATCTTAGCACACTTAACAGACTCTCTCTCTGTAGGACAAAGTTGGTCCAGCTCAGTTCCTGTTCGTCCCTCAACAGGAACTGGAACTAGTTTAAATGTGCTGTAGGAGAGGGATTTTGTCCCTGTCTCTTCTGTTTGTCATAAAATATTTTCCGCTTTGCACTGACCAATGCTGAATTGGGCTCATTATCACATCGAGGCTTGATATGGCCATCTTCCCCACAACGGAAACAAAACCCAGGTTTAGAGCTAGACATGCCGAATTTTACATCTTTAACAGTCTTTTTCACACTAGGCTTTGAAGTAACTCTTCCAGCAAAAGGTAGCTTAGTGCCCATTTGACCTGCTGTTAAAGCAGTGAGCTGCTGCTGTATTGCAGCCATCTGTTGTGAAAGCTGTTTAGTCATGTTATTCAGAGCAACACACAAGTTAGTTTCCTGATCAATATTTGCAAACTGGACCTGAGACGCAACCTTCTCTTTAGTGGTTCCCAAATGATGCTTCATCCTCAAGGTCTTTGCTGCTTCCCTGTCCTCTTCAGTTCTAAGTAACAACAAAAGCTCAGCAAATGATGGTGGATTATTTTTTCTCTGTTTAAGTTGAAGTTCTGAGATTAAATTGTTGTCCCAACACCCTCTGCAGAATTGGGTCAACAGTCGTGCATCCATGTCCTTCTCCAAAACACCTCCTCTCTTTACTGCACTCTGTAATACAACCTGCAGACGCTGCAAATAGGCAGACGGCTTTTCTCCACTGTCCTGATAGGTGTCCAGGAATTTAACATACAACTCCTCTCCATCTTGAACAGTTCCATAAGCTGAATCAAGTTGTTCCATGTATACCTTTGGTAATGTGTCAGGACTCAAATGTTTCACTATATCACAGGCAGGTGGAAGTAAAATGTCACGAATTACTCTGGTACATTGCAGCTGTGACATAGAGGGATCTTGAAGAACTAATTCAACACTTGAACGCCACGTGTCATAGTCTGTCTCATGACTTGGCCTGGGGACTTTTCCAGAGAATGCTCTCAGTCTATGGGATGTATGCATATGCAGAGAGCTGTCCCCACTCCTAACAACATGCTCCACAACGTACCGTTGCACCTCAGGAGGATTAAGATCACCAGCGGAAATGGGTGTGGACCGCCTCTCCTGACTTGGCACTTCAGCTCTGTTGGAGACAGCAGAGCTGGATGGGAGAGGAACTGACTGTGAGAGGGACGACAGAGGAAAAGGGAGTTGAGTTGTGGCATGAGCTGATGGCTGCTGCCCTCCATCTTCATCTGCAAGCTGTTCCTCTTTTGCCTTCTTTAGCACCACAGGACAGAACTCTGCAATAGACTGCTGTATCTGGGACATCACTTCTGTGAGGACTTGAGTGTTATTTTTCCGGACATTTTGGCAATTTCTTGTAAATCATCCAAATACTTGTTTGTCTTTAAACCACCAACCTTTGAGGCATAAATCTCAGATAAACTTTCAATATGAAATTTATCACCCACACTTGATGTAAATGTATATGGTAATATTTGAGATAAGCGTGCTAAAGACAACCCAGAATCAAATTCAACAACCAACATTTGATCAAATTCTGATTCAGATGAATCGATGGTAGTTCTCTGCTTAATATCACCATACTGTTCAAGAAAATCAATAAGTTCATCAGTGGGGTTCTCTAGGACTCCATCAATCAATACTGTGTTAGGGATTTTTAGACCAAGGGTTTCAAAAACCTCCATAATGGAAATTGAATTGGTGAGTAGGAACCTTATTTGTGCAACTCAACTGTTTTCTATTGATTACTGATCAAAACAGCTCCTGGCTAGCTCGCCAATAATGTAGCACCATTTAAATTGTAAAAGGACTAGATGGAAGAAAATCAGAAGACTAGAATTCGTCTACTGGAGCCGTTGTCAGTAATCAATAAAACAACACAAAACTGCTTTCAATACCATGTATTAGACAAATTTAAAGTAAACAATACAAGACAACATACATAGAACCCAAAATAAATACAAAAAATATATATACACAGTACTGTGGTAATCCTTTTGTTTGTGCACAACTGGTCTTAAATTCCCCGCTGATCAGTCCAGAGTCTGACCGACACACATTCAGAAATCCATGGTTGGATTATCCAGATATTTAAGTTGAAGAATGTCCCAACACAAGTTGTTTCAGATGAAGAGGTGAATAATGGAGTGTATGCCTGAGTGGTGAGATGGAGGGGGGAAATGATACAGACCAGTCCACTGTGGAGTGATTCTTAAGGCTCTCCTGGCTCCAGCCAGTTTTCAGAAGCTCGCCATCTTTTTCCCTAAAAAGGGATCACCTGGCCTGTATTAAAATAAACAGGACCAGTAAATTTCCAGCCGGCTAGTTAACTAGACTTTTCCAGTTTCACACAGAAATAAATGCAATATCTAATCTATCAGACCAAATAAAGAACATTTATCTCATCATCTTAAAGTTAGATTACAACAATTGATGATCACACATAGCATTTGCTGCCACCAACATGCTAAAACAACAAACAACATTGGGTTCTCTACTCACCAATTCCAATAATAATGAGAGTATGGCAGCTCCAAGGCTCCAAACTCACTGGATTTCTCGGATCTACATGATTTTTATATTGTGAGGTTAAACAGTGCATTACAAACAAAGAGAAACTGATTGTTTGGGAACACCAACCTGTAGCTCCTTTGTCTCCAGCTCTCCCCCTCACATCTGACTGGGGAAGGCTGGAGAAAGCCTAAATAATTGCCTCAGGTGTGTCAATTGGCTGCATGCACTGTGTGACTGACTGTCACTCTAACCAATGGGGCAGTAAGGCGGGACTAAGGGCAGTTTTCACCCTGGGTTACAGATGCAATCAAAGGGTTTTCCTTATACAGAAAACTTTGAATCAGTTTGACTGTATGATCTGATTGAATTGTCTCTGTAAAGTGCCTTGAAATTACTTGGCACTATATGCAGTAAATAAACTGAATTTTAACTATATTGAATTGAAAAAAACCTTATTACATTAAAGATTTAAGAATTAATATGATGGTAACCTTTATGTGTTTTCTAATATGCTCATTACATTTGATTGCTAAAATATGACTAAAAGGTCCTTTAAAACAAGTCCACTCGTCTCTGGTAGCTATAGCTCCATTGTCCCAATACACCAAACCTAGCTAAAGAAGCTGAAGGACCCCTACCCCAAAGTATTCTTTCAGGAACAATAAAATTAGTTGAAGAGTCAAATATAAAATTTTTGGTTTTTTGTTTTTTGAGGAGGCAAGGATGTTTGGCCCTAGATGTTTAAAAGAATTGATACTCAGACCTGCTTTCTTACATATACAAATAAAGTTAAGATCATATACAATCTGCAGCTTTAATGACAAAAAGATAGACCAGTCAAAATATAAAAGAGAAAAAATTACTTTAATTTGGCCCCTTACAAAATATACTAACCTTCTTGCCATGTAGTTAAAAAAAAAACTCTTTTGATTAAAGTAAAGCCAAAACAAGTGTTTTATTTCTAGCTACAGATGACTTAATGTTCGCATGTTATTGTCTACGTCTAGATTTTTCTGTCCTTTAATTGTCAGGATATTTTAGAAATTCTTACTAGGTCGACTTTTGTAGCAAAGCTGTCCTCAACAAACCATTAAATCTACAGAACAACCATCCTCTGTCGCCCAAAACCAGAAAGCCATTTTGCCTTGTTCTCATCCAACATGTGAATGTAAATGCTTGTTAAATGGAGACAGAGCAAATTTTGTCCACAGGCTTTGGGATGTTTTCACTGTGGTCTTAATAGTTGATCAGTGGAAGAACAAGCTATTTGCATTAAAATGCAGAAATTTGCTAATTGTATTTTATGTGTTTTCTTATGTGTTTCCTCAGAAGTGTACATGATAATGCATATTAAGAATGATGGACTTAAGTTCCCCCACTTCATTTTCAGAAATCTAAAAAGCTTTATATCCAAAAGCCAACACAGGGCAAAGGGTAAACCAAAAATCTGACAGTAGCTTTGAAAGTCAATTTCTTTTCTTTTCTGCTTTTCATGATCACGGAGAGAAATTGCTGAATCTCTAATCATGAGTAATTAGACAAAGCCTGTTTTTTACTAATTTTATTCCTCTGAGAATTCATCATTGGAATTCAGATCTCTCTGTAATGGTATTCTAATTTGATTATGAGGTCAGTGCTTGATTCTTAGATTTGAACCATTTAGCTGCTTTGAATAAACATAGTCTGTCAGCCTCCACTAATTAGTGAATTTTCAAAATGGTGGTGGCAGTGTCTTGGCAGGACAACACAAATCCTGGGCCTTTTGGTTATTTCTGCTTTTGGCACAAACAGTGTTTGTTTTTGAAAAAAGAAAGACAGAGTATATAATGTTGTTCAGCAACATATCGTGTAAATTTATGCTTATGGCTGTTTGAGAAAATCTATGTGCAGATTGGAGTTCCATAAAATCTTATATTTGTAATTTAGATAAAATAATAAACTACTGTATTTTCAGATTTTTTTATGATTAAAAAGCCTGAAAACATGCCTGCCTGTACAATAAAAGGACAACTTTTATTACACATATCAATCTCCTTTGAGTTGGTGAATCGCCAGGAAGCCTTCTTAGTGCACCTATTGCCTTTTGCTAAATCAATCTGTGTATTTAACTCTTGAGGGAACATAAAGTTTTTTTCTACAGTAACTGTAGACTGAGGTTGTTAGCTGTCCCCTCAACCCATTAAGAATAAATTTCATTTCCTTAATTTGTTTGAAGAACCTGCAACATCTGCAGAACAACATATCAGATTTACACTTAACAAAATTAAGTGTAAATCCTCCCTCATCTCATTATTCCTTTTGGATTAAGTTGACCAAATGTCATTTTGATAAGACATGTTTATTTTTTCCTTTTTGTCTCCTTTTTCTTTATTGGCATTTGGAGAATTTGTGGGTTAATGAAAGCATTAGTTTTCAAATATCTCAATGGACATGTACTTCAGTTGCCTGATGAAATCCATTGCATATCATTTAATTTCCTGTGATGTCATCCTGGAGTTTTTCAATTTTGGGCATATACATAGAGTATTCATAACAAGTCCAGAACTGTCCAACGAGAGCCTAACTTATGCATAACGCAAGGCAGCGTATTGCCCATGAAATGTAAAAAACCAGTGTCCTCAGCCAGTATCTAAAAAAGAAAGAAAGAAAGAAAGAAAGACACAAAGAAAGAAAGAAAGACACAAAGAAAGAAACAAACAAATAAACACAAACAAACAAAGAAAGAAGGTTTGCTGTTGCAGCAGATTCAGCGTCATATCTGCTCGGAAGTTTGTTGGAGATGGCCCTGGGGGTGAAGGCAGGGAGGATTCATCACACTCACCTTATTGCTAACCCTATAATGAGGATGAAGTTAGAAACACATTCAGTTGTCATCTGGAACACGTCAAATACGTTGATATGCATGTGAGATATTTTTTGATAAGTTACACATAAGTTATGGACAAGTTACCCATAGGTTTTGGATAAGCTAGACAGTACGACTTATGAGTAACACTTAACATATATCACCGATCAAATAACTTACATGTAACTTATGTCCCACATATGAACAAACACTGGCAAACGTCAAGAAAGTTTATCATGCCAAAATTTTCTAGACATACTTGCTGACCCATAGCTTATCCAAAGTATGCCAGCATTTTTGCTAGATTTTTCGCATGTCAGGCTTAAACTGGCTAAATCGTCAAGGTGTGACAAGGGCTTAAATCAGTAGTTCAATTCAATTCAAAGATCGAACAACAGTGCAACCCTGGTTAGCACTCCTGCTGTTAATCAGAGAAAGCCCAGGTCCATCTTCAACTGCAAACCTAAGGATAAAAGGGTGGTAAAATGCACTAATTGCAATGCTGGAATAACCGTTTCAATGTATGACAAAGGTGCTATGGGTCACGTTGCTCACATGGACACAGAAAAAATAACAATTAAAGGCTGTGGGACTTGACATATGTTCCTCAGATACACTGAAATTTCAGATTTTCTTGGCATTTTTCTCACAGAAAACAGCTGTTGAGAAACCTTTCCCACTCAGGGAGAGCTTCAGCTTCCTGTTTAGTCACTGAGCATTTTGCTTGTGCAATATGATTTCAAAGACGCTTCATCAAAAATGTATTATAATCAGGACAACAGTAGGATTTCATGTTATATTACATTTTATGTAGTCATTGTCCAGAAAGGAAGAGTAAACCGGTAGAAATGTTTTCTGAGAGGAACAGGTATAGCATAGTGCCCTAACTACAAGGCCGACTCAGCAGGTGACAAAAGAATCTTTGATGGTCCCCACCTGAAGTGTTATTCGTCATGCAATCTCTTTAAACCATTTTTTTCTGATATTTTTCCCTGGTTCTAATATATGATAAATGATGACCTTTACATCGACATTTTGATATCCTATGGTGTAATTTTCCAAACTTTGAAAACAGGCCAATTAAGCTTTCTCTGCATTAATGGAATTTCCCCTCTTTGTTTTAAAATTTACTGGAACAATGTCTAATTCATATAACAAGTATGGGATTCTCTTTTGTATCTATTTAATAGTTTATGTGGAGTAAAGATTCCTGATAGAAGCAACATTGCACACTGCCAGGGAACTATATTACTTTTGTTTGCAGAGATGCTTTGGAAAACAGAGTTCGATGATGATTTTTGTTGCTTTTTTCCATTGTCCATTTAGTGGATGCTCTCCTTGGAAGACAGAGGGAAACGGATATGCTGAAACCTTTGTTATAGGGAGGACTTGAGAAGCGGTTTCTTGTAATCAACAAGGAGCTGAACCCAAGAAAAACTTTCAGTTAACTCATCTATGGCTCTCCTATGATCATCATAAAATGGTACTTAGAAAAATGAAAAACAAGGCTCATTTGTGCTGTTAATAATTGTACCTTTTGTTGCAAACTATGAGATGATTTCGTTCCAAATAATGAATTTACCAATTATGAAGGAGGATTGTTGGTTGAAGAGTGACCTGATGAACCCCTCTTTCTGCAACTCCTTTCAAGCGTCACCAAATTTAAGTGATTAAAACTGGCAATTGTTGGTGCTGCTAAATTCTACTAGCAATGCAAGCTGATAATGAGGAACATCTCTTTGTTTATGCTTATGTTTACAAATACATATATTACACCAATACTGTATGTGCCACTAATTTAAATAAATAGAATCTGTCAGTGCTTATAGATATTTTATATTTTATTTTCTGTCCAATATAAAAATTTATGTTAATAATATTTAATAATATCAACTAATTATCAATATTGATATTAATAACATAATTATGTTACATTAAGACACTCCATTTGCAGTTGCTCAGTGAGACCTTTTTTACGTTTCAATATTAAATTTGTAAACATGTGAACTTTAAGCTAAAAAATATAATAAATATAACGTTGAGCTTAATACTTTGATCACAAAAAAAAATAAGATTCCATCATATCCTTAATCTAAGCACATTTGCCTAGTTTACTGGTTTAAAATATCATGCAATATTTTTGTGCTTAATTTTAAGTTGCCTGACCTATTTTCTGCTCCTATTGATTTCAGGCCCACCCAAATAACTACATTTAAGTTTAATAAATTAGCAAAAGAAACACTAATCTGTTTTCCTATTATGTCCTTGTCACGATCTTTGCACTAATGACTGGATTAATGGTTCATTCC